CAAATGAGATAATAGACGAATTAAATTAATTAAAAAATTGGGTTTATTATACAAGATGTTTATGATGCTAGTACTGATCATTTCTATGTAGATAATATTTCGCATGTGCAATTTCTGTCTCAAAAACTATAGAACGTGCTTGCGAATAATCAGAAAATGTTAACCACTAAAATTACCAATAAAATTTACTTACTGCAGTTAAAACTTCATCGTCAAGGGTACTTTAGGAATTTCGTTTGCCTCACATCGCCCAAAGGATACTCCTATAATCATTGGCAACATGTAACACAAAATTCTTTTATTTCTTCGTATCCCTATATAGCTATATATTGCTTTATGTGAATTTATCGAGTAGATAAGATATCGCAGATAATAGACGGCAATGTACATAAACATAGGAATATTACATATATTTTCTCTTATCCTTCATGTGACAATACAATTGAATCTGAAAATGAAAAAGATTATTATTTTTAAAATTAATGTTTTTTTCCGACAAACAATTAGATTAATGCATGTGTCCATATTTTTCTAAACATGATAAATGTGAAAGAATTTCATTTGAAAATTGTATATCCATATTTTTCTAAACATGATAAATGTGAAAGAATTTCATTTGAAAATTGGTATCAAAGCTGACATGTGATGACAAATGTTCAACCTTGAGATAACGTCGAGTTAAAGTACCCATTTTCATGTAATGACCTATACTCTTTATTGCATATTCTTGTAGACGATATGAAAACGCAGTTGAAACACTAGCTACACTTATATCTTTCATATTCATACCAAATGTACACCACGAGTTTGTGTTACTTGATATTGTATATGATCGTGAATTGAAAACAGATTGATTTCAAGCATACGTGTATGTAACTAAAGTTTATTTAATAGACAATGGTACAATGACCGTAGTAGACAATGATAGACTGTAATAGACTGTAGTAGACAATGGACACTCAACGCATCGTCCACTGTCAAGAATACAAATTTGTAATCGAAGTTGAACTTTATTCTTGTTGTTTTATTCACTTCAGATTAGTAATTACTCTTTGACGTAACTAAGAGTAATTACTGCGATTTATTAGTTTCTATTCGATAACGAGGACTGTAGAAGTGACTTTCTTACTGTGTACATTAACGCTGATACCAATGGTGCGAAAATTGATGGAGCTATAAAAAATGACAAATTGACACAATAAGTATTTATGATAAGTAGAAGTATATCCAATATCTTGAATATGTTTCGGCATTACTTGTAGAAATACATAGCAGAAAATGTAGACATTTTCATATCTAAATGTAACAAAAATCTAAATGTGACAAATAGAACCTCAAAAATTAGCTCAAAGTCAAAAATTATCCACTTGACATATCTCGTACAACGCAATACAGCTTTTTTCTAGAATATTTTTTCATGATATCTTTTCTGTGTGTGATATTTACTGACATCGTACAGACACTTAAAATAGATATACTGTGTGT